TTCATAAATCCAATATGGCTCCATCGCATCTTCGCTCTTCCAGGTGCTAAGAGTCATTTGTGCCTCTCTCCCACCCGCCGGGGAACTCTCGCTAATATCTCCAATCTAATTTACTAACAGTAGCTGGAAGTTAATTGAATTTCCGAGCTTCAAATTTGAATTCTGTCAGAGATCATACTCGGGTTTATTTTTCACCAAGGAGGATAACTTAATCTCCCGGCGTCACGTCGCGTTTGCTTCGCTCGGCGGAAGGAAGGGAGGATACATCAAACGTTATTTATCACTTCAAAACCGCGCGGCGTTTTTTTGGGGGGGTTGACGTGTACTTAATTGTGAAAACGTCGTATCTGCTTTTCAATCTGGGAAAGGGTGAAGTGCGAGGAGGAGGAGGAGGAGGAGGGTTTTTTTTTTTTTTCGTCGGGCTGGCCTTGGTCCCCGTTGTCATGGCGATGCGTACATACAAGTATAGATATAACGGCGCGGTTTATCCGAGCGGGTCAAGGATGCGACAGAGGGGCAGGACGTGATGGAGGCTGCTTTGTCGAGATAAGGAAGTCGTCGCTCGTCACAGGTACGAGACGGACGGCGGTGGCAGAGATGAGAGGAGTAAGAGAACTGTACAAAGTCATATCACAGAAGTACAAGAAGAAAGTGCAAGAAATGACTCAAGTAAAGCAAAAAAAAGTACTATTGTCTTGGTGCAAGATTTGTGTGAAATAAAGCTTTAAGACGGCCTCAAAAACAATCCCGGAGTTGTGTTTTATTTAATTCACACATGTTTGAGTAACCGTTCTGTCTGTCTACATCTCCAAAGTTCAAAATGTTGTGGTCCACCTTGTGATGTCATGTAGTTGTATTTTCAAGTTAACAGCTGCTTTATATTGGCAATTCCAGGACTGATAATTATAATAAACTGAAATCAAAATATAATATTCAGTATTGGGAAAAAAAAAAAAAAAAGTGGCTGTTTGCAACGAAATCCCGGTACTCCAAAAAAATAAAAGTCGCATGAGGAAAAGTTTAGTTAAAGGGCCTTTATTTAAATGGCCAAAGCCAACATGGTCTTCATCAGGGCTTAGTTAAAAAATGGAATGCATGGATGTGGCCTTTAAAATACACAGCAGCCAATGTTAAGAACAGATGTTAATTAGAGGTAGACAAGGCAGGGGCAATCCATGCAACATGGCAAAAAAAAATAAAAAAAATATGATAATATTAATACCTAACTAGGTATTAATAGTACGTAGGTCTCTACAGAACGAAAGATAAAAGGAGATGTTAACCTAAGAAGTACCACTACATGACATCACAAGGTGGAACAGAACATTTTGAGCTTTGGAGATGTAGACAGATGAAGGTCCTGTTTACACATGGGTTCGGTCAAGCGGTAATGGAGGGAAACAGGGGCAGATTTTTGACATTCAAATGTCTCTTATTCAGAAACTAGAGGGACTATTGAAATAAGTAAAGTATCAGAATGTAGGAAAGAGTTACACTCCAACAGGGTCAAGTTAAACCTGTGATATTCTTTCAAGTTGTTGACAAAAAATTTAAAAACTCATGTCGGTAACGGAGGGAATGAAATATGCAGCACTTTTTGGGCAATAAATACAAACAGTGATAACTCTTGGTTCTCACTTACATATCCTTAACAAACTGGTTTGAATATTTGCTTCATATAGTTTTCTACCATATGGTACAAGATTAGGTTGAAAAACCTCTTACTTTTTGAGTAATTAGATTTTTTATTAAGAAAGGTCATGGTAACGGAGGGAAAATTTTGCAAACAAGTAGAAGGTGCATGATTTTACATAATTTGTCACTTTTTTCTTCTGAATACTTTAATATTACTTCAGAATGAAAGGAAACTATTTCTATAAAATATGTCAGTCCTTCCAAACAAATTTTTATCATTTTAAATACATTTTTTTTTTAAATCATGTACCTTCATCAACAGTTCAAAGATGGAATAACACAAGATATGATGAAATACATCCATTTATTTACATGATTTTCAGGTCTTTGAAATTTGGGAAATAATTTTTGTTCCATGTTTCATACATGGTCTGTTTAAAACATATGTAACTTTAGAACCAAAAATGGTACAGAAAAAAGGTCAACAGTTTCATAAACTAGAGTACATATGTATCTGTTCAATACATTTTTATATCAGATGCATTAACTTGAATTTTTGGCCTTGTTGTTTACTTCTGCTTGACTGAGCCCATTTCTATGATTTAAGCCTCTTCTTTACTGTTGGCAGGGCTCAAATTGGTCAAAAATAGGGAAACAAGGGACATTTCTTGTATAAAACTGAGACTGTCTCGGGTAAATAGGGACGTCTGGTGCGGCTCCTTTAAATTTCGGACACACCAGCTTCATCGGTGGCAGAAATTACAACGAAAATACTGTAGCGTAATGAAATTTAAATCAATCTATATTCGAATCCTATTTTGACTTTGCTAATGTACCAGTTTATGCAAATGAAATTAACCCCAATATCTTCCACGTCCACGTCCCAACCGGATACGGCTCTCAGCTCTTTGTGCCGTAATGACTCCTTTGAAGGAATTATTAAGCGGCTAATCCCACAGGCCACACCGGGACACAAAGCGCAGAATGGAGCTTTATGTTAATAGGATCTTAGCGTTCATTAGCACTCAGCCCGTTCCCTGGGCAGATGGTGGAGCCACAGTTACAGAAGTGCTTCAACACGGGATTAGCATGTAGACTGCTCGTTTACACAGGTTTTGTAGAGCGCGGGTGTCGGCTTTTCCTGTTTTTCTAATTAAGACTTTGTTTGCTGGATAAATATTTACCGTAGTTTTACATCAGGCAAGTGGAAAAGAAGTTGAAAATGTCACGAAGTCGAGCACAAAACTTCCTGAAGATGTGAGTCTGTGGAATCAGTGTGTCATTCGTTTGTTTGTTTTTCAAAGTAAAATCAAAAATAAGAAAACGAAAAAACAACTATTTTCTTCATTATTTGTCTCTGTTTCCGTGACTTAAACTGCGATGCCGGACTGAACCAGGACTAAACCGGGACCAGAACCAGGACCAGGACTGAGGCCGGGAATGAGACTGGGACCAGACCAAGACCAGACCGGAACTGAGACCGGGACCAGGACCAGGACTGAGACCAGGACTGAGGCCGGGACCAGACCAGGACCAAATCATGATTGAGACAGGGACTTAGGCCGGGACCAGACCAGGACTGAGACCGGGACCAGGACCAGGACTGAGACCTGGACTGAGGCCAGGACCAGACCAGGACCAGACCATGATTGAGACCGGGACTTAGACTGGGACCAGACCGGGATCAGATCAGGACTGAGACTGGGACCAGACCAGGACCAAATCATGATTGAGACAGGGACTTAGGCCGGGACCAGACCAGGACTGAGACCAGGACCAGACCAGGACTGAGACCAGGACCAGACCAGGACTGAGACCAGGACCAGACCAGGACTGAGACCAGGACCAGACCAGGACTGAGACCAGGACCAGACCAGGACTGAGGCCGGGACCAGACCGGGACCAAACCGGGACTGAGACCAGGACCAGGACTAGGACTGAGACCAGGACTGAGACCAGGACTGAGACCAGGACTGAGACCAGGACTGAGGCCGGGACCGCATTAAAACCAGACCATGAATGAGACCAGGACTGAGATTGAGACCAGACCGGGACTGAGACCGGGACCAGACCAGGACTGAGACTGGGATCAGACCGGGACTGAGACCGGGACCAGGACCAGGACTGAGACTGGGATCAGACCGGGACTGAGACCGGGACCAGGACCAGGACTGAGACTAGGACCAGACCATGATTGAGACCGGAACTGAGACTGGAACCAGACTGGGACCAGACTGGGACAGAGACCGGGACCAGGACCATGACTGAGATCAGGACTGAGACTGGGACCAGATCGGGACTGAGAATGGGACCAAGACGAGGACTTAGACCAGGACTGAGGCCGGGACCAGACCAGGACCAGACCGTGATTGAGGCCGGGACAGAGACTGGGACCAGACCGGGACTGAAAATGGTTCAGTCCTGGTTCAGTCCTGGTTCAGTCCTGGTTCAGTCCTGGTTCAGTCCTGGTTTAGTCCTGGTTTAGTCCTGGTTCAGTCCTGGTTTAGTCCTGGTTCAGTCCTGGTTCAGTCCTGGTTAGTCCTGGTTTCAGTCCTGGTTCAGTCCTGGTTTAGTCCTGGTTCAGTCCTGGTTTAGTCCTGGTTCAGTCCTGGTTTAGTCCTGGTTCAGTCCTGGTTCAGTCCTGGTTTAGTCCTAGTTCAGTCCTGGTTCAGTCCTGGTTCAGTCCTGGTTTAGTCCTGGTTTAGTCCTGGTTCAGTCCTGGTTCAGTCCTGGTTCAGTCCTGGTTTAGTCCTGGTTCAGTCCTGGTTCAGTCCTGGTTCAGTCCTGGTTTAGTCCTGGTTTCAGTCCTGGTTCAGTCCTGGTTCAGTCCTGGTTCAGTCCTGGTTTTTAGTCCTGGTTCAGTCCTGGTTCAGTCCTGTTCAGTCCTGGTTCAGTCCTGGTTCAGTCCTGTTTAGTCCTGGTTCAGTCCTGGTTCAGTCCTGGTTCAGTCCTGGTTTAGTCCTGGTTCAGTCCTGGTTCCTGGTTCAGTCCTGGTTCAGTCCTGGTTAGTCCTGCTTTAGTCCTGTTCAGTCCTGGTTTAGTCCTGGTTTAGTCCTGGTTTAGTCCTGGTTCAGTCCTGGTTCAGTCCTGGTTCAGTCCTGGTTCAGTCCTGGTTTAGTCCTGGTTCAGTCCTGGTTCAGTCCTGGTTCAGTCCTGGTTTTCATGTTAGTTTTTCTTGCTTTACAGTCACGACAAAACTCTGCTCTGGTCTCTGAAAATTGTGAAAACCTTTTCAAAACTCATCGTGGTGAATAATTACGAGGCTCTGAATGTATAAGGTGAGTGAGGAAGAACTTTGTGCCGCTGTAAAATGTTTAAAATGAACAGTTTTGTGTTTTGTGAGTAAAAACAGGAGTTGTTCTCACCTGAAACTGAGCGTGTCTGTGTGCGTCCTCGGCTCTCTGTCTGTCCAGGATGAACTGGGCCTCGTTGGCCACACGAACCATGTGCTCCTTCATCGAGTGGCACAGCAGCCTGGACACACACACAAGGGGGTTACACACATGGGCACACACACAAGGGGGGGTTACACACACAGGGGGTCAAACACATGGACACACACTGTATTAGACACTGTTTTTTTATCTACACTTTAGGATGTTTGTTTTTTGGGGGTTGTTCATTATTTAACTCTAGAAAAACACAGATCTTGCTTTAATCTTCTGTTCATAGTAAAAAAAATGAATGTCAAAAAATAAGGAAATAATGTTTGGAAAATACTTCAAAAATATGTATATATGAAAAATATGACTAACTTTTTCCATATGCAGAACTTTAACGCAGGGGTCCCCAACCGTTTTTGCGCCATGGACCAATTTTCTGACGGACAATATTTTCTCGACCGGAGGCGTATCGGAGGAGGCGCGGTATGTTTTAGTCCTGGTTTTGGTTTTAGACCTGGTTTTAGTTCTGGTTTAGGCCTGATTTTGGTCCTAGTTTTACTTCAAGTTTAGTTCTGGTTTAGTCCTGGTTTTAGATCTGGTTTAGTCCTGGTTTAGTCCTGGTTTAGTCCTGGTTTTAGACCTGGATTAGACCAAGTTAAGACCTGGTTTAAATCTGATTTTAGTCCTGGTTTTAGTTCTGGTTTAGTTCCAGTTTAGACCAAGTTAAAACCTGGTTTAGACCTGATTTCAGTCCTGGTTTTAGTTCTGGTTTAGCTCTGGTTTAGTTCCAGTTTAGTCCTGGTTTAGACCTGGTTTTAGTCCTGGTTTTAGTTCTGGTTTAGCTCTGGTTTAATTCCAGTTTAGTCCTGGTTTAGTCCTGGTTTTAGTCCTGGTTTTAGTTCTGGTTTTAGTTCTGGTTTTAGTTCTGGTTTAGGCCTGGTTTAGACCAAGTTAAGACCTGGTTTAGACCTGGTTTTAGTTCTGGTTTAGTTCTGGTTTAGACCTGATTTTGGTCCTAGTTTTACTTCAAGTTTAGTTCTGGTTTAGTCCTGGTTTTAGATCTGGTTTAGACCTGGTTTTAGTCCTGGTTTTAGTTCAAGTTTAGTTCTGGTTTAGACCTGATTTTGGTCCTAGTTTTACTTCAAGTTTAGTTCTGGTTTAGTCCTGGTTTTAGACCTGGTTTAGTTCTGGTTTAGACCTGATTTTGGTCCTAGTTTTACTTCAAGTTTAGTTCTGGTTTAGACCTGGTTTTAGTTCAAGTTTAGTTCTAGTTTACTTCTGGTCTTAGTCCTGGTTTAGATCTGGTTTTAACCTGGTTTTAGTTGTGGTTTTAGACCTGGTTTAGTCCTGGTTTTCGTTCTGGTTTAGACCTGGTTTTACTTCTGGTTTAGTCCTGGATTAGAGGCCTGGAAACACGACAGGAGGCAGCGTCCACACAGCGTATGGGAGGGAGGTTTCGTACTTTGGCGGCCTGTTTCCCCTCACCCCAGCGCCTACAGCCAATCATGAGCCAGCGCTAGTGCAGCCTCTGCAGCTCAGGGAGGGGATTCTGGAGGTTCTGATCGTGACATGTAGCGGAATCTTTCAAGTTAACAGCTCCATTTACCTTTTGTTTAGTCGAGTAATTCAGAAATATCAGGGCTACAATTATCCATATGATTCTAGTGGAGGTGCAATGGACTTTAAAAACACAGTGGAGCTTTTTTTTGTATTACCACATGACAAGAACGCAGCTTAAATGTGCAGAATTTGTTGTGTTAAACATGTCCAGGTCTGTTTATGATGAGGAAACAGAAAATAGCGTAATATTGTCTCTTTAAGAAAAATACCTGACACCAAATTAAAACCGGTGTAAAACATTGAAACCCTCCTTTTATTCCCACTCGACAATGTAACTGCTGGAAAAATCAATACGGCCGAATTGAACGGGAGTCATGACAACAAAAGCCCATCGACCCCCCCCCCCCCCCCCCCGGCCCCGCCTCCTCCCCTGTGTCCCGAACCGCCGGAGCGTCACCCAAACCCTGACCCGACCGTCACCGGGCCGCCCGACCGTGTCCGCAGCCGTCCTAATGAACCTCCGAGCGCCGCCAAGCCTGACCAATCAGCCGCCAGATCCGCCCCGCTGCCCCCCCACACACACAAGCCCCGCCCACTCTCACTCTCGCATCTTTAATGAAGGTAATAATAAACGGCCCGGCGAGATCACGTGTCATTATACACATCGTTAGCCTGGCATTGTTTTCATCAAAGACGGACAGACGGTTTAGTCCTGTTAAGTCCTGTTTTAGTCCTGTTTTAGTCCTGGTTTAGTCCTGGTTTAGTCCTGGTTTAGTCCTGGTTTAGATCTGGTTTAGTCCTGGTTTAGTCCTGTTAAATCCTGTTTTAGTCCTGTTTTAGTCCTGTTTTAGTCCTGGTTTTAGTCCTGGTTTAGTCCTGGTTTAGTCCTGGTTTTAGTCGTGGTTTAGTTCTGGTTTTAGTCCTGGTTTATTCCTGGTTTAGATCTGGTTTAGTCCTGGTTTTAGTCCTGATTTAGTCCTGGTTTAGTCATAGTTTAGTCCTGTTTTAGTCCTGGTCTAGTCCTGGTTTTAGTCTTGGTTTAGTCCTGGTTTTAGTCCTGGTTTAGTCCTGGTTTAGTCCTGGTTTAGATCTGTTTTAGTCCTGGTTTAGTCCTGGTTTAGTCCTGGTTTAGATCCTGGTTTAGTCCTAGTTTAGTCCTGTTTTAGTCCTGGTTTAGTCCTGGTTTAGTCCTAGTTTAGTCCTGTTTTAGTCTTGGTTTGGATCTGGTTTAGTCCTCTTTTAGTCTTGGTTTAGATAAGGTTTAGTCCTGGTCTTGGTTTGGATCTGGTTTAGTCCTGTTTTAGTCTTGGTTTAGATAAGGTTTAGTCCTGTTCTAGTCCTGGTTTAGATCTGGTTTAGTCCTGGTTTAGTTCTGGTTTTAGTCTGGTTTAGTCCTGGTTTTAGTCCTGGTTTAGTCCTAGTTTAGTCCTGTTTTAGTCCCCGCCCACTCTCACTCTCACATCTTTAATGAAGGTAATAATAAACAGCCCGGCGAGATCACGTGTCATTATACACATCGTTAGCCTGGCATTGTTTTCATGGAAGACGGACATTAAAGCTCGTATGTTCTGCAAAACCGACTCTGAATATCGTCACGTCCGTTGTTTTGTTTCATTCACACATGTTTGAGTAATTCTGCATTATTAAACGACAAATTCTGATTGTTTTTGCGACATTTATTCAGTGTTGGGAAGGTGACTTTTAAAATGTATTCCCCTACAGATTACAGATTACATACACCAAAATGTAGTTTGTAACGTAATCCATTAAATTACTTAAAGTGAGTAAAGTAATCTGAGTACTTTGGATTACTTGATTTGCTGCAGAGAAGCAAAAACTAGGAAATCGTAACAAAAGATGTTTTGTCTGATAAAAGAAAATAAAAAGCCCAGACTTTACTGAACCAGATTAAAAATATTATTGATAGAAGACGAGGAGACGTGGCCCGGGCTGCATGGTTTAGTCCTGGTTTAGTCCTGGTTTTAGTCCTGGTTTAGTCCTGGTTTTTAGTCCTGGTTTAGATCTGGTTTAGAGTCCTGGTTAGTTTAGTCCTGGTTTAGTCCTGTTAAATCCTGTTTTAGTCCTGGTTTAGATCTTTTTAGTCCTGGTTTTAGTCTAGGTTTAGACCTGGTTTAGTCCTGGTTTTAGTCTTGGTTTAGATCTGGTTTAGTCCTGGTTTTAGTCTTGGTTTAGATCTGGTTTAGTCCTGGTTTTAGTCTTGGTTTAGATCTGGTTTAGTCCTGGTTTTAGTCTTGGTTTAGATCTGGTTTTAGTCCTGGTTTTAGTCCTGGTTTAGTCTTGTTTAGATCTGGTTTAGTCCTGGTTTATCTGGTTTTCCTGGTTTAGACCTGGTTTAGTCCTGGTTTGGTTTAGACCTGGTTTAGACCTGGTTTAGACCTGGTTTAGTTCTGGTTTAGACCTGGTTTAGTCTGGTTTAGATCTGGTTTAGTCCTGGTTTAGTCCTGGTTTTAGTCTTGGTTTAGATCTGGTTTAGTCCTGGTTTAGTCTGGTTTTAGGTTTAGTCTGGTTTAGATCTGGTTTAGTCCTGGTTTTAGTCTTGGTTTAGACCTGGTTTAGTCCTGGTTTTAGTCTTGGTTTAGATCTGGTTTAGTCCCTGGTTTTAGTCTTGGTTTAGTCCTGTTATCCTGGTTTAGTCTAGTTTAGTCTGGTTTAGTCTTGGTTTAGACCTGGTTTAGACCTGGTTTAGTCCTGGTTTTAGTCTTGGTTTAGATCTGGTTTAGTCCTGGTTTTAGTCTTGGTTTAGACCTGGTTTAGTCCTGGTTTTAGTCTTGGTTTAGATCTGGTTTAGTCCTGGTTTTAGTCCTTGTTTAGTCCTGTTAAATCCTGGTTTAGTCCTGTTTAGTCCTTGTTTTTTCCTGGTTTAGCCTGGTTTAGTTCTGGTTTAGACCTGGTTTAGTTCTGGTTTAGACCTGGTTTAGTCCTGGTTTAGACCTGGTTTAGACCTGGTTTAGTTCTGGTTTAGACCTGGTTTAGTGTCCGGCAATGAGTGGAATTACTGAGAAAAAAAAAAAAAAAAAAAAGGGGGATTTAGCCCAAAATGTGAAAACAGTAAAATCCCTCTGTGTAATCCATTTATTTCAACAAAGTAACTGTAATCCAATTAACACTCACTGAAACAGTAACTGTAACTGAATACAGTTACTCACAAATTGTACTCTGATTACATAACTCCAGTACATGTAATCTGTTACTCCCCAACACTGTATTTATTTAGTTTTTCCAGCTCTCAGCATGTACCATGTACCTTGAACCTTGAACCTTGAACCTTGAACAGAGACTGGGTGTGTCCGGTCCGTGCTCCTCCTCAGGACCCTGGACAGCACCTCGCAGACCAGACACTCCCGACACTCCAGACACTCCCGACACTCCCGACACTCCCGACACTCCCAGACACTCCCGACACTCCCAGACACTCCAGACACTCCAGACACTCCAGACACTCCCGACGCTCCCGACACTCCAGACACTCCCGACCGCTTCCAGACAGACACTCCAGACACTCCAGACACTCCAGACACTCCAGACACTCCAGACCACTCCAGACACTCCCAGACACTCCAGACACTCCCGACACTCCCGACACTCCCGACACTCCGACACTCCAGACACTCCAGACACTCCAGACACTCCCGACACTCCGACACTCCCGACGCTCCCGACGCTCCAGACGCTCCAGACGCTCCGACGCTCCCGACCTCCAGACACTCCAGACACTCCAGACACTCCAGACACTCCAGACACTCCAGACCAGACACTCCAGACACTCCAGACACTCCAGACACTCCAGACACTCCAGACAGACACTCCAGACACTCCAGACACTCCAGACACTCCAGACCACTCCAGACACTCCAGACACTCCAGACACTCCAGACACTCCAGACACTCCAGACACTCCAGACACTCCAGACACTCCGACCACACTCCAGACACTCCAGACACTCCAGACACTCCCGACACTCCAGACGCTCCCAGACACTCCAGACACTCCAGACACTCCAGACACTCCCAGACACTCCAGACACTCCAGACACTCCAGACACTCCAGACACTCCAGACGCTCCAGACGCTCCAGACCACTCCAGACACTCCAGACACTCCAGACACTCCAGACACTCCAGACACTCCAGACTCCAGACACTCCAGACACTCCAGACACTCCAGACCACTCCAGACCCTCCAGACCACTCCAGACCACTCCAGACACTCCAGACACTAGAGACACTCCAGACCCTCCAGACCCTCCAGACACTAGAGACACTCCAGACACTCCAGACACTCCAGACACTCCAGACACTCCAGACACTCCAGACACTCCAGACACTCCAGACACTCCAGACACTCCAGACACTCCAGACACTCCAGACACTCCAGACACTCCAGACACTCCAGACACTCCAGACCCTCCAGACCACTCCAGACACTCCAAACACTCCAAACATTCCAGACACTCCAGACACTCCAGACCACTCCAGACCCTCCAGACACTCCAGACACTCCAGACACTCCAGACACTCCAGACCCTCCAGACCCTCCAGACACAGACCACTCCAGACACTCCCAGACACTCCAGACACTCCAGACACTCCAGACACTCCAAACACTCCAGACACTCCAGACACTCCAGACACTCCAGACACTCCAGACCCTCCAGACACTCCAGACACTCCAGACACTCCAGAGACACTCCAGACCTCCAGACCCTCCACTCCAGACACTCCAGACACTCCAGACACTCCAGACACTCCAGACACTCCAGACCCTCCAGACACTCCAGACCCTCCAGACACTCCAGACACTCCAGACACTCCAAACATTCCAGACACTCCAGACACTCCAGACACTCCAGACCCTCCAGACACTCCAGACCCTCCAGACCCTCCAGACACTCCAGACACTAGAGACCCTCCAGACACTCCAGACACTCCAGACACTAGAGACACTAGAGACACTCCAGACACTCCAGAGCCAGCGGGGGGCGGGGCTAAGCTCAGGCCACGTGCTGGGCCAGAGTCTGGGCCAAAGTCTGGGGCAGGGGTGTGGGGTAGAGTCTGGGCCCGAGTCTGGCCAAAGTCTGGACAAGAGTCTGGGCCAAGGTTCGGGCCAGTGTGTTGGGCAGGGTGTGGGGGTAGAGTCTGGTCCGGAGTCTGGGCCAGAGTGTGGGGTGGCGGGTGGAACAGGAGGGTCAGCAGATGGTCCATGAGCTGAGCTGTTTCATCAGCACATAAGCTGGTGGTGGAGCCGGTCATCGTTTCACTGACTCCTGATGAGATGCTGAAGCCCACGGCCTGTGACTGCAGCGCACCTGGACTCACATGAAAACTCTGACTGGAGACTGTTCCTGTGGAGCAGCCAACAGGGGGACAGCTCAGTGGGTCTTCAGAGGTTTTTGTCTCAAGTTCAGGGAACACGGAGTCTGTGATCGATGTTGGTTCAAGCTCGATGTCAGGTTTGTATGGTCCCAGTCTCGTCTCTGAGGCCAGGAGGACTCTGACGATGTTCGGTTTGGCTCTAGAGGCCCTGGAGCTCCGACACACAGGACAGCAGGCCCTCATTTTTACAGCTTTTTTACTTACCTAATATGAGCAAGTGTCACTTTTTTCTATAGTGCTTTTCCACCTTCAAGGCACTCAAAGCACTTTACAACAAGGAACCACTCACACATTCACACACACATTCACACACCAGTGTACGCAGACACTGTGGGCAAGGTGGGTTAAGTGTCTTGCCCAAGGACACGACGACAGCATTCATCTGTGGGAGCTGGAATCACATCAGCCAACCTGTGGGTCAGTGGATCTGAGCGCTCAACCTGTGATGTTTTATGTGGAGATACTGCCGCCCACGCTTTGCATTCATTCAAGGTTTTCAATGTACAATACTCAGAAGTCTATAGTTTTATTGTAACTAAACTTACAATATCAAAGGGGTAAATTTGATTCTACCACCAGTGACCATGAAAAACGTGAAGATGATTAGAAGTAAATGAGTGTAGCTCTTTCATTGTATTTGAATGTGAGCAGATGGTCAACAAGGAAGTGTTTCGTAACCTGAAAAACAAAATCAGATACCTCCACCCTGCGGCTTTGTGTTTCTAAATACACCAGATGTGAGCGTAGGTGAGTGTAGCTCATACAGACACTGGTGACTTTATATATACAGTGCATATATACTTTATGATATAAGAGTGTAGGTGAGTGTGGTGCATACAAATACAAACACTGGTGACATTACCTTCCTTCATTGATGAGCTCGATGAAAGCCAGACCCGCGTTCTTCTGGATGGAGTTCTGCCACTCCTGAAACACAGACACAAAAGTATGAATGAATACCAAATCTGTTTACACACAGGCCATTCTGGGACCACCTGCACTCACTGAGCCAGCGCCAGCCTTTTACTGATACTAACATGTAGAACGTAAACTGTCCTAAAGCCCCGCAGCACGCAGCCAGTGCCAGCCAGCTCACTCACTGCAGCTAAAGACATTATGAATGAATTATTATACTCAACGGAAACTTTCAACACAATTTGCATATATTATTTCAAAGTAACCAAAACAAAAGCTCCACAATGTTGCTTTAATCACATCCTTAAACTGCTATTAAACATGCCTGGTCGGGATTCGAGTTTCTGCCCGAGTCGAAAACCTCCCATCGTCTTTCTACGGCACATGTGCGAGCAACACGGACCAACGCCACACTTTGATCCCAGGACACGAACAGCTATGGATTACACACCGGCCCATATTATATTCCCCCATCCCAATGACATATTTCAAGTATCATTTAGACTCCTCTTGATAGCTGGAAACCCTAGACGGCCTTTTAGCGGGCCTGTCCTTGAAGGGAACGGCGCTGTAAAAAAGTGCGTATCCGTAAACACACAGAGGACGCGTAATTGTGGTTGGAAACAGTATCCCCCGCTCTTAAATACTGCAGTTTCCTGTAGGGTCCATCCACTGACAGACGAGGGAGGGGTGAGAGAGGAGGAGGGTGAGGTGAGGAGGGAGAGGAGGGACAGGAGGACAAGGGAGTGAGGAGGGAAAGGAAGGAGGGAACGAGGCATAGGAGGGAAGGGTGAGAGAGGAGGACAAGGGAGTGAGGAGGGAAAGGAGGGAAGGAAAGGTGGGAGGGGTGAGGAGCGAGGGAGCAAGGCAAAAAAGGGACGGATGAGACAGAAGATCAAGGGATGGATGAGGGAGGAGGACAACGAAGGGGTGGGAGAAGAAAACAAGGGATGGGTGAGGAAAGGGGTGAGGAGGGAGGGAGGGAGCGAGGCATAGAAGGGGCAGATGAGAGAGAAGAACAAGGGAGGGAAGGGTGAGAGAGGAGGAAGAGAGAGGAGGAGTGAGAGAGGAGGAAGAGGAGGAGGAGGAGAGAGGAGGAGAGAGAGGAAGAGAGGAGAGAGGAGTGAGAGAGGAGGAGAGAGGAGGAGTGAGGAGGAGAGAGAGGAGGAGAGAGGGAGGAGTGAGAGAGGAGGAGGAGGAGGAGGAGAGAGGAGGAGAGAGGAGGAGGAGAGAGGAGGAGAGGAGGAGGAGTGAGAGAGGAGGAGAGAGGAGTGAGGAGAGGAGGAGGAGGAGGAGGTGAGAGAGAGAGGAGGAAGGAGGAGTGAGAGAGGAGGAAGAGAGGAGGAGGAGGAGAGAGGAGGAAGAGGGAGGAGTGAGAGGAGGAGAGAGGAGAAGAGGAGGAGTGAGAGAGGAGAGAAGGAGGAGGGAGGAGTGAAGAGAGAGAGAGGAGGAAGAAGGAGGAGTGAGAGAGGAGGAAGAGGGAGGAGTGAGAGAGGAGGAAGAAGGAGGAGTGAGAGAGGAGGAGGAAGAAGGAGGGAGTGAGAGAGGAGGAGAAGGAGGAAGAGGAGGAGGAGTGAGAGGAGGAGGAGGAGAAGAGGAGGGGTGAGAGAGGAGGAGGAGGAGAGAGGAGGAGGAGTGAGGAGGAGGAGGAGAGGAGGAGGAGGAGAGAGGAAGAAGGAGGGTGAAGAGAGGAGGAAGAAGGGAGGAGTGAGGAGGAGGAAGGGAGGAGTGAGAGAGGAGGAAGAAGGAGGAGTGAGGAAGAGGAGGAAGAGGAGGAGTGAGAGAGGAGGAGAGAGAGGAGGAGAGAGAGGAGAGAGGAGGAGAGGAGGAGTGAGAGAGGAGAGAGGAGGAGAGAGAGGAGGAGTTGAGAGAGGAGGAAGAGGGAGGAGTGAGAGAGGAGGAGGAGAGGAGGAGGGGTGGGAGGAGTGAGGAGAGGAGGAAGAAGGAGGAGTGAGAGAGAAGAGGAGAGAAGGAGGAGAAGAGGGGTGAGAGAGGAGGAAAGGAGGAGGAGGGTGAGAGAGGAGGAAGAGGAGGAGTGAGGAGAGAGAGGAGGAAAAGGAGTGAGAGAGGGAGGAGTGAGAGAGGAGAAGAAGGAAGAGGAGTGAGAGGAGGAAGGAGGAGAGAGGAGGAGGAGTGAGAGAGGAGGAGGAAGAAGGAGGAGTGAGAGAGGAGGAAGGAGGAGGAGTGGAGAGGAGGAAGAGGAGGAGTGAGAGGAGGAGGAGAAGGAAGGGGGGTGAGAGAGAGGAAGAAGGAGGAGTGGAGAAGGAGGAGAGAGGGGAGGAGTGAGAGAGGAGGAAGAAGGGAGGAGTGAGAGAGGAGGAAGAAGGAGGAGTGAGAGAGGAGGAAGAAGGAGGAGTGAGAGAGGAGGAAGAGGGAGGAGGAGGAGTGAGAGAGGAGGAAGAAGGAGGAGTGAGAGAGGAGGAAGAGGGAGGAGTGAGAGAGGAGGAAGAAGGAGGAGTGGAGGAGAGGAGGAGAAGAGGAGGAGTGAGAGAGGAGGAAGAGGAGGAGGGAGTGAGAAGAGGAGGAGAAGAGGAGGAGGTGAGAGAGGAGGAGAGAAGGAGGGGTGAGAGAGGAGGAAAAAGGAGGAGTGAGAGAGGAGGAAGAAAGGAGGAGTGAGAGGAGGAAAGAAGGAGGAGTGAGAGAGGAGGAAGAAGGAGGAGTGAGAGAGGAGGAAGAGGAGGAAGAGTGAGAGAGGAGGAAAAAGGAGGAGTGAGAGGAGGAAAAAGGAGGAGTGAGAGTGGAGGAAAAAGGAGGAGTGAGAGGAGGAAAAAGGAGGAGTGAGTGTGGAGGAAGAGGGGGTGAGGAGGAAGATGAGGGAGAGGAGGGAAGGGTGAGTGAGGAGGACAAGGAAAGGGTGAGAGAAAAACACGGGAGGAGTGAAAGAGAAGAACAAGACACAGGAGAGAGAGAGAGAATACAAGGGAGTGATATGAGAGGAGAGGAGGGAGGGGGTGAGGTGGACGAGGGAAGGGTTGCCAGGTTTGTTCTGGAAGTCATTAAAAAGCAGTTGGAGAAGAGAGAGAAAAGAAAGAAAGAGAAAAGAGAGAGAAAGAAAAGAGCAGAGGACTGTGGGAAATCTGTCCTCGGATGTACAACACCGACAGAGCGAAGGGTCTCGTGTTAAAGCCAAAGACAAAACACAAGAGGCTTCTTATGAACAATGGACAATAATCCGTATAGAGACAATATGTTTTGGTTGTCACGGCGCTCGACTGTGACACGGGGCGGATCTTTACACGTTTACGTAGCGTTTTCTCTGACCCGGAACGTCAGGTCAAACAGCACTGCCTCCTTCCCTCGTCCATTACTGCGGGACAGAGTAAATCCATTTGCGGCTTTGTGTTCAGAAAGCCAGTTAAAATCTCACCGTGTCCTTGGCTACAGAGGTGTTCAAGTACTATGTGACATCACGCAGGACTGCTCACATGTTCCCGATCGCAAACACGAGGCTGGAGGGGCGGAGTTTGAAGTGCGGATACTTGTTACCGCCCCAGACCTTCAGTTCTGGCTTGTTTTGTGTGTTTTATTTGATTTTGATGGCTGTGCTGGATCCTGCTGTGGGAGTCCTGGGCCGTGATTGGTGGAGCTCTTCATCCTGCCTCATCTCCAGCCTCCTCCCTCGTTTTTAAGGAGATCGCAGCACCTGTTCGGAGGCTGTTGGCCTTGGTGTCCAGTCTGCCGTTTTGTGTTTATGTGAGACTGTTTCGGGTCAGTCGTTCGTTCGTACTCGTACGTGTCTGACTTTGTTGGTTGTGTTGAGACGCTTGTTTTGTTTAGTTCTGTTTTGTGCCATTTTTAATTTGTCACTCGATTCTGTTTGTGGGTTTTTGTGGTTTTACTTTGGGGCACTTTTGTGTTTTAGTTTTGTGGGTCACTCTTTTTTTTTTTTTTTTTTGCACAAAACAAAACTTAAAGGTTGTATGGAGGATTTTTTATTTTGTTTCAAATTGTCAATGAAAGTTTAAAATACCATTACAGAGACGCAGCAGCTTTGTAATTATGATGACCAAAAAAAAAAAAGAATGAAAATCTATCAACTGCGGACGTAGTGAGGCCAGATAAACATCAGCCAATAGACAACGACGCTCCCTCATTTTCTATTGGCTGGTAGGTTGTCAAACTCCCTACGTGCGGGGATTACGTGGTTTAAGCAGCGGTTCTTAGAGGCTTTTTCAAACTGTCGCTTCCTCGCAATTCGCACAAAGTTTGTTGCGATGGCGGACGAGAATCCACGACCAGTTCGCCGTAAAAGAAAGTCCGTTTTTGAGGTCGCTGAAAGACGAAGAGGAGGGGAAAAGAAGCAAAGCCAAACTGAGGTGATTCTTGGAGATTCCTTCCAGCGATGGCGCGACCGAAGCAGACGAAGGGTCTAAAGACTGAAGACGAGTCGGTCGCTAAAGTATTTCTAGACAGGTCACTTCAACAGTAATTCTGAACGCGCACTGGCTGTAAACAAGCGTGATTTCCAGAGTCAGGAGGTGGGAGGAGGTGTCACGCATGAACAACATTTGAAAAAGGACTGTCACTGTATTTCTTTTCCCTTAAAAAATCCTCTATACAACCGGTTTTGTTTCTTAGTTTATTTTATTTTCTGTATATATTTTAGTCTGTTTTGTTAATTTAGCTTTTACATTTCTGTACATTAAACAATATTTAATTTATTCCATTATCCCTCTTGGTTCTTTTGGTACTTCCCCTGTCCCGAGCAGAGCTGGCTCGTAACACACGGCAACAAACTTTAGTATGCATTCAAGGCGGCTCGATGGTGACGTTAGGTGATGTATGTGGCGTAAACACGTAAACGACGTGAGCAGATCTGACCAGAGTTTTGCGTCTTGGGCAGTGTAGACGGAAACACTATGGCGGAGCGTATTTAACTTTTCCATTCTGGAGGGTGGTTTCAGATTTTTGCATTTTTAAGCCCCCAAAACGCCGTCACCATCTAAACGAAAGGCACTTCTGATAAAATACTTTGTCGTTTTACCTGCAAGCCTTCTCGTGTAAACTTGGAG